TAGGCATAAATAAAGGTTCACACCAATATGACATTTAAGAAGAGAGAGGAAAATAGGAAGTTGGGGAGATGGAGTTCAAGTTGGTGATGAGCTAATAAAAGACAAACAAAAAAAATAAAATTTAAATGTAAGATATATGGTAGGAAAATGATAGGTACGAGAAGARCAAAGAGACTTGAAAATTGTCGTAGGCACACGATAAAAGATAAGAAATACAACATGTATCAAAATTGTGAAAAAAAAATAAAATAACTTCTCAATTATGAAAAATAAGTCTCAAACACTATCAATAGTCGAGGATCTAGAACAAATACTATACTGTCAAATGGTGTAACGAGAATAAATATCACTCTGAACAAGATGTAAAATAATCGAAGTGAGATAYTTGTAAATTATGAAATCATGTTCTATTAAAATATGAGATATAGAGTCGGTCCAAACAATATCCTCCATACTTATGCAAAATTTTAATATTTTATTTTAATCAGTCAATTCACTCTTTCTAAGAAATAGGATGGAAGTGGTTGCAAACTTGTTAAATTGAGTCTCTCTAATAAGAGACAGTGATCCATGATAAAAGGGACAACCCAACCCATAATTTTCCCACCAACAGTATCCATAAAACTAGGAGTTCGACTGTGGTTCTCTTGTTCTTAAGTATTTTGATTTTAAGTCTAGAAACAATYARAATTTCGCTAGAGAATTTAGCTCTCACCTAAGCTCTCTTGAAGCATTATTGTATCTTCRGAGTAGGGTGAGAAATAACTCGGTGCAGTGGAGTTTGAAGCATTGTTACATCTTCAAATTGGAGTGTGAACTAACTCGAAGTTACATCTTCTCTGCTAAAATTTTATAGGTATAGACCTTCCTYACGTCTCTATTCTAATTATTTGTATGGATTATTTTAGAAATTCAATTTCCTATTATATATTTCCAAACTCCCAACAATTGAGGTCACTTATTCTCTCCATAGGAAAAAGAAGAAAGGCTAAAAAAGCCAAAAACTTTCACATGGGTCTCATTATTTCTCATCCTCAAACTCTCAAAAAGCTTTATGCCTTTGCCTTTTTGCCTAAAAGGAGAATTTGAACCCCAACATCAACTTCCTTTAAATTGTTCACAAAAAATAAAAAAAAGGGGTAACAAGAAAACAATATAAAGGTAGATATGATAAATATGGAAGCTTTAACTAATTTAAATTCTAAGAAATTAAATTAGTATTTAAACTCTAAAAAAATATTAATTATGTCTTTATACAACAATGTGTGGAGATGGAGATTTGAACTCACGATTTTTTTATCGAAAATAAATGTTTTAATCAATTGAGTTATGTTCAAGTTGACAATGTTAGTGTTCAATCAAAGCCCTGCAATGGCGGTAGATGCTGCTGCCATTAATTCCCGAACCACTTCCCTCTCCCTCTCTATTTAATCACTCTCCTCCTCTTCCTCATTTTCGCACAAGACCTAACCTATATCAAAATCAAACCTCCGCCTCTCAGATCTCAACAATGGCGGCCTCGATTTCCGCGCCGATCTTCTTGCTCTTGGCGGCGATAATCACATCCGCGGCGGCTCGCGGCGGTGCTCCAAAGCCTCCAGTTCCGGCTCCGGCGGCGATGGACTGCTTGACGACGCTTCTGAACATGTCGGACTGCCTCTCGTACGTGTCGATCGGGAGCAAGGACCATCAGCCGGACAAAAACTGCTGCCCGGAGCTGGCGGGGCTGGTGGAAAGCAGCCCGCAATGCCTGTGCCAACTGCTCAGCGATCCCCAAAAAACTGGTTTGGACATTGATGTGGATCGAGCTTTGAACCTTCCTTCCGCCTGCAAAGTCTCCACTCCTCCGATTTCCCTCTGTTCACGTACGTTCTTCTTCCTCATCTTCACATAATTTCAAATTATTCTTCGTTATAGTTTGGATTTGGTTTCAATTTCAATTTTTAATTGTTCAATCGCTCTAGCCAGTTAGGGTTTATGGATGATTAAAAAATGTTTAGGTAAAATGTGGTGTAATTACGTTTTATTTAAAAATTTTAAATTATTATAGGCATTGATTTGAAATGAGCTCAAATTATAATAATTAAGTTGGACATTTTTATTTAAAAAAAAAAGTTGTACATTTTAAAATTGTAAAAGCCAAGTTCAAATTAAGCCATTGAWTTTAATTACTTTTTTTGCTTGTCATTTATTTTTAATAATTAGAATATATATATTAGTCTTAATTTACATTCAGGTTGACATAATTCTAGTAGGTAAGCTAAGGATATAAAATTATGATTTCTATTTGTTAATTTTATTTACAACCTTTGTCTCAAGAAAAATTAGTCAAATTTTTTTKTAAGGAAAGGATAATTTTGAATTTCAAAATTCAAACCCAAAGGAAAAATGGGGGAAAAGCATTTTACCCACGTTAGATTTGAGCAGCTTTCTTTAATATCTAACTAAATTGAATATTCAAAAAGTAATTTTTCAAACGCATAAAACTATTCAATTAAAAAAGCACTTTTTCTTTAAGGAGGTATTAAAAGGTTACAGATCATGTGTTACTATAATCTACAATGATTAAATTTAAATAATCATAGATTCATGTCTTAAACATGTGGTTATTTAAAAAAAAAAACAATTCTTAAACACAAAGCATGTCATCAAAATTAATAATAAGTTCAAACGGGTTCAATTCAACACGTACTAAATTTAGAACTCATGAATTAAGATTTAGTTTATATAAACAATTCAAATCAAAATTTAAGTTCCATTTGATGATAATTTTGGTTTTGGTTGTGTTGAGAAAAAAAACAATTATTTATGAAATAAATTTATTTTTGTATTCTAACAAAAAAAACTGTAACCAAATTTTAAACTAAAAGGACAGTTATCAAAACTGATTTTTAACATAAGGGGAGGCTTACTAACTTAAATGTGTTTTCTTCTGATGCAGTTTTGGGATATCCAGTAACATCACCAGCTAGTCCTGCACCAGCACCAACCACATTGCCACCAGGTAATAAATCTTCCACGGTCTAAGAAATTTCAATTTCGCTCTATAGCATAAATTTGATATGCATTTTCAAATATAGCATGATTTTATGCCCCATTTTTGTAACGCTTAAAACTTTATGCTATATTCGAAAATATATACTCATGTTTAGGGAAACAATCACCATTTTAAGTTCAATTTCATTGTTGAATGCAAAAATGTACCAAGGTTAATAAATCTTCCACGATTTTAGAAATTTCCCTCTATAGCATAAATTTGATATGTATTTTCAAGTATAGCATGATTTTATGCCGTTTTTGTAACGCTCTAAACTTTATGCTATATTCGAAAACATGTACTAATGCTTATGGAAACAATGACCCTTTTAAGTTCAATTTCATTGTTGAATGCAAAAATGTACCTAGGTGTTCAACCACCGGATGTGGGAGGCTTGCCCACCAACGCCACCCCGGGAAACAGTGGAAACAGAGCTTCGAGTATTGACCGCCTTCATCTTGCATTTCCAATAGGCTTAGCCTTGGCATTTCTTCCAAAACTTCTCTAACCAAATGATGTTTGATCATCTGTTATTGTTTGCCAATTTTTCTCTCTTTTTCAATTCAGAAGTCATTGTCATGAGATACTTTAATGATTGTTACTTGTTAGGCAATAAAATTTTAGCTTTTATTGAAATTTTGTTGAAAGTTGAAACTACCTGTACTGTAAGAAGTGCATGATTCTGTGAAAGTAAAGATTGAGAAAAACGAGTTTTAGAGGCTAGCAGGAAGACTTACCAGGTTGGCTGTACAGAAAGAGAACAATTTGTAGCTGCCATCGACTTTACAGCATCCAACGGTAAGTRGTCGGGAAAACTGCAGCAGTACCATCGACGTTGTTTATTCGTTTCTAACTGCAAAACAGAATGAATATCGAGGAAATGGATCATCGAGCACAATTTCTTGAATTACAAATTTAGTCTTTAACTTTGAATTTTGTGTCAAATAGGTCACTATCATTAACTCTATCAAATTCCATTAATTTAGTGCTTATGTGAGACCTGACTGCTATTTAAAAATTATGTAGCTATTACATGTAAAATAAAACTTGCCACATGGAATAAATACATTAAAAAAATAGTTAAATTACAAATTTAATCAAACTTTCACTATTGTACTTACCTTGAACTTTTAARATTGTATCCATGGGCTCTTAAGCTTTTGATTTTGTATCTAATAGGTCCCTATCATTTTATTTTAGAAAACCCTCGGTGAYGYGTGCAAKTCCCTTCCTTCCCCCTTTCTTTTTCCCTTCCCTTCCCTCTGTTTTGATTTATTTTGGTTGCGTTACTTTTCCCTTCTCCTTGTCTCGAAAGTTTGCCCTAAAACCCACCTCCAATTTCCTACACCCATTTGCCCACCCAAAATTCTGAAAATTTACCTAGAACCCACCCTAGTTTTAAAACCGCCCCAATTTTAGACCTAACCAAATTTATCGCAAGAGGCAAGTTTATTTGACACGTAACAGCCACATGATCTTTAAATAATACAGTCACACACCAAATTAGTGTCCTAAACTAGGAGTGACGAAGTTAATAGCAAAGACCTATTTGACACAAAATCAGACCTATTTGATACAACTCTAAATACTCGGGGACTAAATAACTCTGGATAAAAACGCTGCATGGCAAAATACAGATCCATCATCTTTAGACAGACCGAACAAATTTATGGCAGTAAAAGCTCGAAACAAAAATATGAAGAAGAMTTCGACAATAGAGGGGAAGAAAAGCAACTTTGATTCAAGCTTTTGCATCACCAGAATGTTAAAAACCGCCTAAATCTGTGCAAAAATAGTGTTGAAAATAGTCRCCAGAAGTTTACATCACGAGCAAAACTAGATCAGTGTAAAGCAATTTGCTAGAACACCAAATCATCCCTAAATCTACAGCCTCAGTGCCATTAGCATTACCTGTGTCAACATTGTCATTTCTCATTAAACYTCTCGAAACATAACTCGATGAATTATTCGCTCTCCATGCTCTTCAACCCTCTGATGAAAGATTGATATTCACATCTGTAAGAAGGTGCAGCAACATAGCCCATTCTCCCATTTCTATATTATTTAAGAAGGGGCAATCCCTCCAGCTTTCTGCACTCAGAATAACGCCATGGAAAAAATAAAGCATTCTTCTTGTGCTTTCAGATTGATGCCAATGTTTCACAAATTACTTCATACCGCTCAATAATAAATTCACCAACTCTAGGGTCGTTAACAAGCTTTGAAACACTTGTTGAAAGAACATAAATATTGTCCTTCATTYATTTGTTATCTAGAGGCAAGTCACCATCTTCACTGTTAATTTGATTCACCTTCTGTCTTAAGCCGCTATGAGATAAACCACGACGCCCCATGACAACTAAATCTAGGAGTTTTCTCCTTACAGTATAAACTGGATTTGGATCTATTAAACACCCCCTCTCGTAAGCTTCTCTTAGAAAAACAGTATGTCTCTTTCCCTTGGTTGACAAATAAAATATCCCAGGATGATCCAAGAATAGATCTCTTATATTTAGTTCAATGCCAAACCATTTCCTAAAATGGCTGATTTTCTCTACTTCCACCATCTTTTCCACAGTCAAAGTCATGAATTCATGAACAATTGAAACTGCTCGCTTTTCCAGTGCCATACTAGTATTCCCATACTTGTTTTCAAATATTCCCTCATATGGTCCAGTATATGGACACCTTTGCCATTCCTTAACCTTGGCCTTGAAATTCTTTCTCAACCGCATCCCCGGAGGGCAGCTATGTTTAAAACTGTACTTGATTTCTGTCTCATCAATGGTGCAGTCCTCTTTACAACACTCAGTAACTCTCCATTTCTCAACAGCTGCTCTGAAATGATTTCTCGGAATGTCATCGACCAACTTCAAAAAATGAGTATTTGGTTCATGCGCATCACAGAGCTGAAAAATATGAGAGTGTTTGTATATCACAGAGTCCTCAAAATCATCAGGAAGGCCAAGCTCCCTCCATACTTTGTAAATTGCACGCAGTGGTAACATTTTAGAATTCGACATTGATAAAAGCCGGACTAATCTGTCAACAACCTGAGGCAATGAAGCGTTGATAGCATCCGCTTCCTCATGAAATATTAGGGTGGCAGCATCTGTTAATCTGCAAAATGGCTGGGATTTGTTTGGATCATAGAATATGTGGAAAATATGAGGATATTTGCGAAGGAAGGAGGGAGCCCCACGATTGAGATGGAGCTTCTGGGAAAGCCTTGAGAGGAAATCTAGAGATACTGATTGATTTCTTGGATTAGCAAGGATAAGGTCTTGGACTGCAACCACTTTGAGAAAATTTTTGTACTTATCCATCAGTTTCTCAAATGTTGGATCTCTAGCTCTTGATGCAACATACTGGGAAGATGTTGTTTTACATCTAACAACCATACTGAGATGATGGTATCTTTTTGCGATGGACCTAACTATATGAGGTCCCATTTTAATGCACAATTTGCTCTCACAACACACGACAGTTTTCTTCACAAACAAATTCAGCCATCTCTTCCAGTGCCAATTAAATCACAAAATTAGCACAATAGTAGCTATAAAAAAAGCTACAAAGACCATCTACCTCTCAGAGTGAAAGAAAACCAGTCATTTGCTAAATCACGTGTTCGAAGCCCCCTTTTAGATCACTACTGACGCAAAATTTCAGCCCAATACAGATTTCAGATTAAGGCAATGGTTCATATAAGCCATCTAAATTCCCTCAACACAGCCGCACAAAAAATTCAAGAGAAATCCAGAGTGCCATTTAGAAAACGCTTGAGAATGGATTCATACATTCAGTTTTCTGAACGGCTTCGATTTKTCCCGCCATACCTGCGTCCAATTGGAGCTTGTGAAAATCGTGTCCTATATGAAGATAATCGAGGAAAAATCTTGTACGCGCCGTAAAGGAAACACACATATATTATTTGTATCAATCAACACGATTTGCACTGCAAGTTTTCAGTAAATTATATCAAGAAATTGAATTAAGTTCTCATTCATCAACATTAAACAGCCAGCACAACTAAATAATCGAAGCCGACACTTGATTCGGCAAGCAGAGCGATGGAAATATCCATAAAATGATTGCATGTAAATAAAGCAGTAAAAAATCTAACAAATTAAGAGACGAAATATCGTAATTCATTGCAATGGAAACCCTAATTTGAGAAAAGAAACAATGGCGAAGGAGAGATATATTACCAGAAATCGGCGGTGTAGACTAYACGGGACTTTCGTTCCATTTGCGCGGAGGAGTTATTTGGAATATTTCCATTTTCCAAGAATGATCCAAGTTTGGAGTCCTCGATGTGATATGTCCATTTTTTTAAAAATTTGTTATCTTAAACATTGCCGTAATTATCATATCGCTACAAATTACTTTTTTATACTTTACTCATTTATTTTAGCTATAGCATTAGCATAGTGATAGCCATAGAAGAACGACAACAGTAATAATAGCGATGGTTTATATTATTAATAAACTCCCAATKTAGCCTCGACAATTTCAAAATCATTAGCAATAGCAATAACAGCAGTGATAAATAGCGATAGTAGTGGTGACAATAACAATATAGTAGTAATGATAGGATAACTTGTATTGCAGCATATTTTCAATTTTTTTCTAGATTCCTTATTTTTCTCTTTCAATTTTTCCCGACTATGATTCATTATTTTTTTCAATTCTAATTCTTTATTTCTCTTTCAATTATGTCTCTATCTTTATATTTATTTCTACCACTCTTTATATCTATATTTGTATCTCTATATCTACTTATGTCTATGGTTCTTTATTTTTCTCTTTCAAAWTTTTCCTAACTCGAGGTAGGAGGTAGAAATACTGATMAAGGTAGAGGTACAGATACAAGGAAAAAAATGAAAAATAATTAAGAAAATCGTGAGAGAGAAGCGAAAAGTGGGTATTTCGAATTGGAAAAAAAATTAACTCAAGATTTTGATTTTGAGACCAATGAGGGAAAAAAACGAAATTAAAGTGAACAAATAAAAATAAAATAAAATTAACACCGCAACAATTATGTTATTACCAAGAGAAATTTGAGAGATTCAAGTTGGAAAAAAATTGAACTAAGCAAGAAAAGAAAAAAAAGAAGAAGAAACCATTAATAAATATAAATGAAATAAAATTATTTAAGCTATAAATTGGATTGAGTTGCATGAGAAAAATAAAGGGAGTTCGAAGAGATTAAAGTTGAAGTACTTGGTTGACTCGTAGTTCATTGGTACGTTCTCTCCAAACTTTCAAACAAAATCATACTCTCACATTTTCAATTTCTTCCTTCTTTATTTTATTGTTGATTCCAACTAAACCATYGTGTATTGGTCATTGGTCCAAAGGGTTAAGAAAATTCAAAATAATTTAGAGAAAATGAGTTCAAACCTCATAGCGGCCATTTACTTATATCTTTGCGATGAAAATTTTTTGTTTTGTTCGGTCTGCGAGTCATTTCGATTTTTATTATGTTTTCAAAATAAATTTATACAAAGGGAAATAAGGCAATAGGTTTCGAAAAGAGGTCTTGAAAATTTAATGATCCGAAATTGATATTTTAAAAATTTTAAATCAAAATAAGAAATATATATAACTTCACAATTATAAAATTACGCATTTAAATAAGAAAAGAAAATTCAAAACAAATTAGTTGGTAAAAGAATTTAACAAGTAAGAATATCTATCTTCATGGTATTAGTCGGTAAAATAATTTAATAAAAGTTATTTATTTTGTTATAATAATTTAACTAAATTTATGGAATTTCGAATAAATATATTTTTTTAAAATTATCATCGACTATGAGATCTTGATGTTTATTTTTATAGCCTTTACTCAATTAAATACCGTGATCATGTACTAATGTTCTAAACAGTCTAAGGATAAAAAAGTCGAGTCATTATAGAAAATATCATGATATTTTGAAAAGATAAAATAATAATGTTATTTGAAATTTGAACTTAAAAATAGGATAGAAGGAAAAGTTTGAAAAGATTAATAATAAACCCTAATTATTTAAACTATAAATTGGATTGAGTTGGCATAAGAAAAATAAAGAAAGTTCAAAGAAGTTGAAGTAGTAGGTTGACTCGTAGTYCATTGGTACGTTATCTCCAAACTTTCAAACAAAACKTACTCTTATATTTTCAATTTCTTCATATCTCTTTTCATTTTTTATTCCGATTTAACGACCATGGATTGACCTATTGGTTCGAAAAGGCCAAGAAAATTCGAAAAGATTTTCAAGATTGAAATTAGACTCTTTTGAAAATTTTATAACTTGTGTTTGTTTGTGATTTTTATATATGTTTTCAAAATAAATTTATAAAAAAGGGAAATAATGCACTAGGTTTCGAAAACAGCTCTTGAAAATTTAATGATCCGAAATTTATATTTTAAAAATTTAGAATCAAAATAAGAAATATATATAACTTCAAAATTATAAAATTACGCATTTAAATAAGAAAAGAAAATCCAAAACAAATTAGTTAGTAAAAGATTTTAACAAATAAGAATATCTATCTTCATGGTATTAGTCGGTAAAAGAATTTAATAAAAGTTATTTATTTTGTTATAATAATTTGTGTAAATTTTGTATGGGATCTGTAATAATTTTTTAAAAATTATTATCTACATTAGACTACTAGAGATCTTGATGCTTATTTTTATAGCCTTTAACTCAAAAAATTTTAAATACCATGAGCRTGTACTAATGTCGCTATACAATCTAAGTGTAAAAAATCGGGTCATTATAGAAAATATCCTAATATTTTGAAAAGATAAGATGATAATGTTATTTGAAATTTGAACTTAAAAATAAGATAGAAGGAAAATTTTGAAAAGATTAATAATAAACCCTAATTTATTATTATTATTTTTTTAGAATAATAATAAACCCTAATTATTTAAGCTATAAATTGGATTGAATTGCATGGGAAAAATAAAGAAAGTTCAAAGAAGTTGAAGTASTAGGTCGACTCATAGTTCATTTTGAACGTTTTCTCTAAACTTCCAAACAAAACATAATCCCACATTTTCAATTTCTTTATAAATTTTTTTCATTTTTTATTCCAATTTAACCACCATGAATTGATCTATTGGTATGAAAAACCAAGAAAATTAAAAAAGAATTTAGAGGAACTGGTTCAAACTAATGATAGTGATGGTAGCCACTTGTACTGTCTTTGTTGTGTTGAAATTAGACTCTTTGAAAATTTTAGAACTTAGGGTTTGGTTTGTGCATTTTTACATACGTTTTCGAAATAAATTTATATAAAAAAAATAAATAAGTCACTAGGTTTCGAAAACAAATTTTGAAACTTCAAATATGATCTGAATGTTTTTACTTTTCTTTTACCATTGCACTCTTCGGTCTTCACACGTTATCACTACTGTAGATGCATTTCTTGTGGAATCATTTTTTTTTAACCTTAGATATCTTTTTTTTTTCTTTTCAGTAATAGATTTTTTAATTATTTTACTAATTACAGATTTTCGTTTCAGGATTGATTGGCATTAACAAATTTACCTTGCGATTATTTCTATTGCAACATGACTAGTTCCTACTCATTATCCGAAAGGTAAATAATAGACTTTCAAACTTATCTTTTGTATTTATTTATTTAAAATGTTTGCCATAGACATAAATTATGCATGTCAATAGGAATTTCAATTTTTCAATACTATAAAAAAATTGTGATAAAATTTGAAAGTTTTAAAAATTAAGATTAAACCTAAATTGAGCAGCTTCGATTTTTTAACCAATCAAAAAGATTCAAGGATTAAACGGTAACTTTTGAAAAGTTAACAATAAACCTAGCTTAGGCATTATAATGGAAATTTCATTTTTTAAACCAATAATAGAGATTGATGGTAAAATTAAGAGTTCTAAAAGAAAATCTTAGATGAAGCATTGTAACGAAAATAAAACATTAAATGTAATTGTAGAGATAAAAAAAATGGATTAAAAGGACTATATCTATAATTTAATTAGAAAAAAGGATTAATGACTAATTATAAAAATTCCATTGGCAGCGACAGAGAAGAAGATTTGCATTCAATTTTTATGGATATGGAAATGGATAAGAAGTGTCCTTTTGGCATAAGAGGTGTTGAATTCAATCCGAGTCACGAAGCTCTGTTGGTTGATTATCTTTACAACAAAGTACATGGCCACCCCTATTGTTTAGAAGCTGTCAAAGATTTCGACCTCTATGGCAACCATGAGCCATGGCAAGTTTTCGACCTATTTGGAGGAGTCGATGGCCAAGATCTCTACTTCTTCACCCAGCTCAAGAGGAAGTGGCCTACCAAACAAGACTCCTCTCGCATCAGCCGTCGAGTTGGTACCAATGGCGGTACTTGGAGCGGTGAGAATTCTGAGACTCCYRTTTTATCTTCCGTCACKGGTGGTCTTATTGGTTTCTCCAAACGCTTCCGTTATGAGAATGGTGGATTAGAACACCATGGTGAGTGGATTATGAAAGAGTTTAGTTTGGACGAAGCGTATTTGCCTAACGAAGGCAGTGACTATGTTSTTTGCCGGATTARAAAGAATGATAGACCGAAAAAGAAAGGGACCAAGAGGAAATTCAATGAGCTTGAGCAAGAATCACTAGCACCACAACCCCCATCTTCGTCAGTTGTACCATGGGGGCAACAATTACCAGCATCAGAGTCTCAACGTTCTTTATTTGCTCAGTTGGAACAACTATTATCAGTACCAGAATCTTCATCTTCATTTGATGGTCAAATGGAGGAGCAACTACCACTATCAGAGCTTCCAACTTCTTTCATTGCTCAATTGCAATCGCTATTATCACCATCGGAGCCGTCATCTTCAAGCGATGCTCAGACGTTGGAGCAACAACTCCTAGCATCAGAGCCTCATTATCCATTTTTTGTTGAGTCAGAGCAACAAATACTAATACCAGAATCTCATTATCCATTTGTTGTTCAGTCGGAGCAACCATTATCAGCACCAGAGCCTTCATCTTCATGCCTTGCCCAGCCAGAACAACAAATACTAATATCAGAATCTCAATCTCCATTTGTTGTTCAGTCGGAGCAACAGTTATTTGCATCAGAGCCTTCATCTCCATTTGTTGTTCAGTTAGAGCAGACTTTATCAGAATTAGAGCCTTCATCTTCATGTCTTGTCCAACCAGAACAACAAATACTAATATCAGAGTTTCAATCTCCATTTGTTACTCAGTCGAAACAACAGTTACTCGCATTAGAGTCTTCATCTCCATTTGTTGCTCARTTAGAGAAAACTTTATCAGCATCAGAACCTTCATCTTCATGCCTTGCCCAACCAGAACAACAAATACTAATATCAGAATCTCAATCTCCATTTGCTGTTCAATCGGAGCAACAATTACTTGCATCAGAGCMTTCACCTCAGGTACGTTTATTGGAACCAAATAATCATCAGATTGTTGAAAAAGACCCTATAGCTAATGTTCAAATTGTTGAAGAAGATCTCATGACTAATGTTCAGATTGTTGAAGAAGGCCTCATAGCTAATGTTCAGACTGCTGAAGAAGACCCCATAGCTAAGGTTGAGATTGCAAATAATTATGAAAATGTGGAAGGATGGGTACCACAATTGGAGGAAAGCAATGAAGACTATTTCGACTTTGATGTTGAATCCTATCTTTCGCAAGTCAAGGAGACAGACATATATTTTGCTGAGGAATGAATGGAACCAAAAGATGCAAATGATTATCCATGTAATTTTTGCTATTGTAAAACTTCATAATATTTGGTGATGGGTGAAATGATGACACTTCATCTACTCATCCCTATCTTCAAATATATACATTCTTGAATTGAATTTGTTACATGGTTGTTGAATATTATATATAATCATAGATTTTTTTTCCTGTATTTGTGTTCTTATTCTTTTGCCAATTATATTCACTTTTCTCATTGGCACTGGACGAATTCCCACTAACTGAAAATCAAAATCATCCAACAAGTAAAGAATCCCCATCATTAAAACCAAATTAAAAAAATCTCTACTGGGTTCATAGATTTTTTTTCCTGTATTTGTGTTCTTATTCTTTTGCCAATTATATTCTCTTGTCATTATTATATGTAATGATAGATATTTGTGACATGATTGATATCAAATTTTCACTATTGTTGAAGCTCTGCTCAACTGGTAAGAAAATAAATAGCTTCAAATTCGGCTTAAACTGTTCGAATAATGCTGGAAGAATGGCAGAACATAAATAGGAATTTAGAAAGAGAGAGAAGAAATTAGGGATTTGGGTGGATAAACATCAGATTTAGATGCAATAAAATGAAGAACCCAAGCAGAATCTCCAAAACCATCCCTATTCCTCCGATCGATTTCCTCCCAATTCCACCGTCACTTTTGTCATTGGCACTGGACGAATTCCCAGGAACTGAAAATCAAAATCACCCAACAAACAAAGAATCGAATCCCCATCATTCAAATTCAGAACCCAAAAAGCGTATGAAATTTTTGTGTTGCTGTTACGTGGAAATATGAATTAGGCCGTACCTTTTGCACCTGGGGCACTGCTTGGTCCGCTGGTATGATTAGACTCTTTGAAAATMTTTGCTTCTGTAGAGTTTGGAGGCAAGTGCAACAGAGCTGAAACCCAGATCAAAAGCAAACACAAGATTAGATACGAAGCCCACAATGTGTTTGACAAAATGCCCAACTGTAGAACGAACGAAGAAACCGGGGGATTTGTTTACATATAGATGCACTCGAGATGTTTAACAAAATGCCCAATTGAAATGTACAGAGCACGACCATGGGATTTGTGCACATACACAAGAACTCAAGGTGTTTGACAAAATGCCCAACTGGATAATATAGCGAAAAAAGCATGGGGTTTGTTTACATATAGATGCAGTCGATATGTTTCAGAAAATGCCCAACTGAAAAATGGAGCCAAAAACCATGGAATTGGTGTGCATACAGATGCACTCGAGAAGTTTTTACAAAATGCCCAATTGAAATGTACAAAGCAAAGCCATGGGATTTGTGCACATACAGGAGCCCTCAAGGTGTTTGACAAAATGCCCAACCGAAACATACAGTAAAAAGCATGGGATTTGTTTGCTTACAGATGCACTCAGTGATGTTGGCAGGGGCATGACAGGCAGCGGGGAGGCCCAAAGCGAGGGTGCCATTGATTTTGAGGCCAAGATTTGGGTCATCCTTGTCCTTGATGAGGACACAGAGGCACTTCTTGCTCTTCTGCACCACCTGCTTCAGTCCATTGCAGCAGTCGATGGTAGGCGTTTCTGCATCGCCGCTGACATAAGGCAGGCAAGGGGCGAGGCCGATGAGTTGGTCGGAGCAATCTGCCCTGTCTTGGTCTATGGTTGAAGTTGCAGAAAAAGCTTGAAGGAGAAGCAAATTGCAGAAGAGAGAGAGAGCTGTAAACTTGAATTCCATGGAGATAGAGAGAGAGACAGGGAAAAAGAGAAGATGGGTATTGTTGTTTGGTGTTTGTGAAGTGGGCTGTTCTGTCACTTTTACTGAACTTGCAGGGGAAGAAAGAGAGAGAGATTCTTTGCACTTACCAAAGAGATGATTTTGGTCATGTGAAGATGGGTTTTCTTTTGTAAAAAAAGGAAAGTATTATTGATCTTATAAACAGCTTCAAAGAAACAAGAAAAGAAAAAGGAAAAAGGAGAAAATGTTGGTGACTTGTGACAGTGTTTTGTTGGACAAGCATAGGAATGTGTTGTAGCTTTGAATTGAGAAATCTGCCCACGTGTTGGCTTCTGCTAGGTACATGGCAAGTTAAAAGTAGGGGAAAAAAAACAAACAAACAAATTTCACTGTTNGGACGAATTCCCACTAACTGAAAATCAAAATCATCCAACAAGTAAAGAATCCCCATCATTAAAACCAAATTAAAAAAATCTCTACTGGGTTCATATAACCGAAAAAGCCAATGAAATTCTCGGTTGRAGTAACACAAGGTGTTTGACAAAATGCCCAACTGGAGAATAGAGCCAAAAACCATGGAGTTTGTTCGCATATAGATGCACTCGAGATGTTTGACAAAATGCCCAATTGAAATGTACAGAGCAAAACCATGGGATTTGTGCACATACTAAAGCACTCAAGCTGTTTGACAAAATGCCCAACTGAAACATACAGTAAAAAGCATGGGATTTGTTTGCTTACAGATGCACTCGGTTGGCGGGATTCCTAGGAATGCTCTCTCCTGCGGACTCACCGGAGGAATGTTAATGGCGGCGGAACCCTAATGAAGAACAATTCCCTCTCTCCATCGCTCTGTATAATGTTTGCTTGTAATTATAATGTTGGTGTTCTTTAATGGGTCGTCTTCTTTCTTGGGGAAGATTGTGTGGACAAGTTGTGCAATCAAAATAATGATAGTTAATAATGTTTGTGTTTGGGTTTGTGAATCTAGTATTAATGTTATGGATGAGGTTTTATGATTTGTGTGCAATTTTATTGTTTTTGTTTAAATGTTGAGAACAACGCCTCAAGCAGCCAARAAACACAGAAAGGAAATCGGAATTGTGGTCGGAGATAGACGGAATTGACAATTGGTGTCGAATACGAAATTAGATTGAACAAGTCAATCGAAGAAGAAGAGCGAGAGAGCTTTGAGAGTGAGAGTGAGTGTGAGGGTAAGACATGAAAAAAAGAAAAAAAAAACGAGGGAAACTGATTTGGGACTATTCATATTACTCAAGTTAGTGGAGGGGCATCGAGAACAATTTGACAAGTAAGATGATGTAAGCAAAAGATATATCAAAGTTGGCTAAGAAGAGGGACATTAACCCAAAATCCCATGAAAATAGATCTCTAACGTTAATAAAAGGATTTCTAAAAAATCATATGTGTCCTGACATGATTAACAAAATTACTGACTATTAGTATACACATCGATAACTATTTTGTTTTTTGTTTTATGTTTTAAAAAATTATGCTATTAAATAATCTTTCTCGTAAAAGCATTGGTACAAAACTATTTTAGAGAGATTTTGGAGTCCTCTGTCATTTATATCTTTTGGCTTATGAGGTTGGTTTGGCTAAGGATTCCAAACAAGAAACTTTCAATGAAATGTAGGGTACATGTTATCGTCTCTAGATTGCATAGCGAATATGGTTATGGTGATCAATAAAAAGTTCCCTAGTATGACCATTAGAGATGACGTTGGAGATAGTATCGTCGTCAACATCACCAACAAATTTTTCACCGAAGACGTCATCATTCACTTGCATGGCATGAGGCAATTGGAATTCTGTGGGTTGATGGCATGGCCTCCATCTTGCAGTGTGCCATCAACCTCAGAGAAACCTTCAATTACCATTCAAATTTAATAGGGTGAGGTTGTCGTCAAAGACACTTTTTTTTCCTCTCTCCAAAGAAACAAAATTTTAATTGTTTCACTTGAATTTTTATAAAAAACGACTTTAAGGACACGTGGGAGTAGGGAATCGAACTCACAACCTCTTGTTTGGAGATATATGTCAATTATCGCTAAACTATACTCACTTTGACACTCATTAACCACCCATAAAAATTGGCCGTTGTTTATGACTTGTTTTGTTGTTTTGGAGCAGTATTTTAAATTTGGAACTTTAAAATGCGTGATTTGATAACCATATTATTTCATGTTATAAACCCAGGTAAAATATAATATAATATAAATTACAGAACATTATAAAATAATAATTAAACAAAATTTGTAAAAAAATGTTAATAACTTAATTAGATTTAGTTTAATCTAAAATAATATTAATTAAGTTATTAACATTTTTGTTATTTAGTTTGGAACTACTATGAGTTTACAAATATATGGTTAAACACACGTTGAACAATTTTTTAAATGAAAATTCAATTTTCATATTGCGTATCTAAAAATACTGAAAACAAAAAATACAACTCTGTTTTTAATTGAATTCTTTGTTTTCTGATCACCAAAAGTACTATTAGTTTTTTAAAACTGATAAAAAATATCTATTTTCTACAATTTTTTCTATCCACCCAGACAAAAGATGAATTAACGAGTTTAGTTATGGCGGAAATTAATTGATCTTGAAATTATTTAAAATTATGTTTGGGAGTGATTTTAACATGATTAGAATTACTCTCGGTAAATATGAAAATATAATATATATATATATATAATAATTCTAATTTCGTTTTGGTTCTTAATATTTTTAAATTTTAAATTTCTTTATCTTCCATGTATTCAAAATGATCTATTAAGACTTTATGTTAAAAGGTTTGTTACAATTCATCAGAAAAAGTGAGATTGGATGATCAAATTATTATTTTATTAATATATTTAAATCCACGAACCTACTATTTAGATGTTAATCAGACACATAAAATCCAACCAACCTTCAAAACCAGATATCAATCAATATTTATACACAAAAATTCCCAATTCAAAGACTATATTCCATTTCCATTCGAAATACAAATTTCAAATTGTTCCACCTTTTTCTTACTGCAAATTGCAAATTTCAAATTTTTACCCTCCACAAAACTGTAAAGTTTGTCGTTGTCCCACTAAATCAGGTTTCAAAACTTCCCACACGTGCGGCAATTACGTGGTAGAGAGAGAGAGGGTAGCACCTTGGAGGCGACAAAAAATGGTGCGGCGAGCGGCGTCGATGGGCGGCGTCAGGCGGCGGAAAACAGAGCGGTTTTGAAGCGTCGAATCTTCCGGAGACAAACCACGGCTCTCTCCAGAACCACATCCACTCTGTTCCTCCGCCCGATCATCTCTCCCGTCTCCGATTCGGCAGCAGTCGCTCTATGGAGTCTGTTTCCACATGCTTTCTCTGATCCTGATTCCTCTATTATCTTCCTTCTCTTCCTACAACTGCTCGACTCTGCTCCGAAATGTATGAATCAGAAAACAAGAACACAGGAAGAGGAGATTACGGATTCGAGTACTGTACTGACCTTGTGAATCGGGAGCGAGAGAGGTCGGCGAGGGTTTGGAGGCTTCGTGAGCGTTCGGATGGTCCGATTGCGATTGCGATTGGAGAAGTTGGATGAAGGACTTGAGCTCGAGCTTTAGGTATTCGAAACGATCGGGGTGGAGAAGTTGGAGCGCTTCTAATTCCTCCGTTGCCTGTTCTTCGATCATCCTCTTCCTTCCTTTGCCCCATTCCAAGCTCGACATTCTCGATTTCTCTCCCTCTGTTTCTAGACCGCCATGGAAGTGGAAGTGGAAGGGGAGTGGGAGAAGAACTGAGAAGGCGGAAAGTTTGTTTGTTTGTTTTGTGGGGTCTTTTTGCAGGATTTCTTGAGTTTTTGGGGTTATCGAGGAAATTATTTTTAATTATTATGTTTTCTCTATTTGCGCCTTTTTTTTTACGGACTTCATTGGCGCACCAATAGGCAATATCCGCTCCGCCTTGGCTCCACTTGCAAACCTAAACCATGAGCCGGTTTCTTTTCTCCGCGGTTGGTCGGGTTCGTAAATTTATAAAAAAATTTGGGTCATTTTTTGCTATTCTCTTAATTTGCTTTTAGTTTTCCACAAATGTTTTGAGCAATCGAAAACTCAAGTCGACCGACCAAAATCGACTGAACAGAGGTTGTGCGGTCGGTTTTAATGAGATATCAATTGGTGGTTGGTTTTGAATTTTTAGAATCGATTACTCGATCGTCGATTCACGACTCTATAAAAATCGATCAATTTTGACATTAAAAGATTTTTTTATTTGATATATAACTTGCACGCATGTCTAGGACATATTCTTCCTTCTCGCCGCATCCTACCCAGTGTTCAAAATGTCAATATCGATGAAAATGTCGAGGTCCCGATTTTACGGACGTGTCGATGTCGATAGATATTTTGGGAAAAATAATGTAAATTGTGGAAATTGATGGAAATTTTTTGAATTAGCAAATAAAACTTGAATGATAGTTTAATTAGCCTATAATTGATCACATTTAACCATTAAATGTAAGAATATGACCATTTTACTTCTGAAAATGTCGATGTCGATGGAAATATCGAAAAAAGATTTTAACTTTAATTATAAACTTTTGACTACTTCTTTATTGTTTTTCATAGTATGATTCATTTGGAAATGAGATAATTAATGACTTGGTTTCCAAACACATTTCAAATTCTAATTAACTCGTACTTGTTTACTTTTTACCTACTTCTCTTTTCAAATTTATACATTTTTCAAACACATTTTCAAATCAATCATCAATCCAACTTTCCAATCAAATTTATACAATTTTCAAACACCCCAACCTCGTGAATGTATCATTCATCCAAATTATCTACTAATGGGATTCATATGTGCTTCATATTCTACTCATTTAAGCAACTACCTTCAAAACTTTAGGATGACCGGAGAGAACTATTGTAATTTATATCAAAGTTATCAAGATAATGCATTAGATCATCTGAGATCATCTTTTTGATATTAATTAAGTTACATATTCTACTTCTTGTTTCACCACTATTTGTATATAATAATATTTTATTTTTTAAAAATTCTAAGATTATTTCAATCTTTATATATGTCAATGTTTCACATATATTGTTCAATTGTGTAAGTAATGACTAGATTTGATTAGAAATTATTAACAAAGCAAATTCCAAATCTTATTAGTTATATTTTATACAGTATTATAATCATCGAGGTTGTGAGAAATTATAGACTCTAGTGACATAGTAAGAAGAGGATGAAAATAAAATAACCTTAAAAGAAGAAGAGGAACAAAAAAAGACATGTCGACATTTCGACATGTCGATGACATGGGGGAAAATCAACTTTTTCCCCTATATCGACGTCGACATACTCGACACGTCGACATATCTAACGACATATCGACATGTCTCTCGACATTGAATCCTGATCCTACCTCAGGCATTCAGGGAGGGGGAAAGAAACCCTCTAATCACTGTTCTTCTTCCTTTCTATGTCTCACTTCATGCTTAGTATCTTTTATATTAAGCTTTAGTCGACATTTTATGTGTTTATTAAAATTTTTTTAAAAATTCCTATATGTAGGCAGTTTCTCAACGTTAATATCTATATTAACAGGTCTATAAATTTTCAATTCAAGGTCTAAATTTATTAGAAAATATTGAAAGTTCAATAAATTATCATATCTATCTTAGAGTGTTGAGACATTTTAGACACAATATTGGAAATATAGAGACATATCAAGCACTTCTTAAAATTTAAGGATCTTGAAATTCACATATCAATTTTATATTTAATATTGGTATAAATTTGTTTAAAAAAATGAAAATTTAAAATGATACTATAAATGGGTAGGTTTGAAATTTACATTTTCACATAATCACTAAGGTTAGTTATAATCATACTCTTGTATTTTCAATTTTATCAATCACCTTCTAAAGTTTTGAAATTATTGCATTTAAAAAAATGATGATGTGACAGTTAACATGTAGCAGCTGGACTAGTAAAGTTTAATTAGTGCATGTATATACATAATTTCTTTAAGGTCGAAAATTCAAATCCTCACTCGCACATCTATTACCAAATCGTCGTGCTTTTGTGCTATCCACTACCCAATGACAAGCTAACTACCATTCCTGGTGCATGGTGGTGGCACTACTACCTTCCCGTCTATCCTTTATACAGACTATCGTATGCAGGCTGCGACATGTCTTTTGTACTACGTAATAGACATGTAGCCATTGTCCTCTCATACTCGTACGTTCCACGTCGTTCGTAGTCTCCTTTCCCATTGCCACCCCTAAAACCTTATTTGCCCGGTAAACTACTCAGGGCTCTCCATGGTTTAGTAAAAAGGAGGGGAGATAGTTCCTGCCCTTGGCTTTGTTCAAGTCTCGTCTCACCACCATCTTTTTTTTGAAAAAATTTGCGAATGGAATGAGGGATCTGTAATATGCTTGCTCGAATTTCTCTCCCAACAAATAATAACTCTAAAATATATATTTTATATTTTTTAGGGCATATTTAACCCATTCAAAAAATATAAACTACAATAGACACGTCATTAATTGTAATATTATATATATATATTTATTATAATTAAAGAAAAAAGAAAAAAATAATTCTCATTTCTTTGGAAGTTAGAAAGCTTACGCTCAAGAACTTCTTCTCCGACTCCCCACAAAACCCTAGACCGAACCCAAACACTTTGCAGCATCTTCTCCACTACCCTTCTCCTCCAACCTCCGCATCTCCAACAATGGCAGCCATGCTGGTAAGCGCTCCCACTCTCGCCTTCCGCCTCTCTATTCTCATGCCTTATTGTGGTACTTTTCATTTCTCACTGTATCTGACGGCGTGCGGGTTGGAAATGTACAGCAACCTCAGATCATACTGCTGAAAGAGGGGACCGATACTTCCCAAGGCAAGGCGCAGTTGGTGAGCAACATCAATGCCTGCACTGCTGTGGCCGATGTGGTGCGTACCACCTTGGGACCTAGAGGCATGGACAAGCTCATCCACGATGACAAGGGGAATGTTACCATTTCCAACGATGGCGCTACCATTATGAAGCTCCTCGACATTGTTCATCCTGCTGCCAAGATCCTCGTGGACATCGCCAAGTCGCAGGACTCGGAGGTATTTTCCCGGTCTGTTTATCTCTCTTTCTCGTTAATTGAGTCTGCGGCTGGAACTATTGTGGTCGATTCCTGTCTTTCGTGTTTTTGGCTGTTTTATCATAGAGATATTGATCGAATAGTTAGCTGTGATTTTGGATTTATGCTATTGCAGTTATTATTATTTTTCGGCACTCGCATTACTAAATTTGAATTGATTCCTGACAAATCAAGTTAAAGCCTACGATATGTTGTTTTCAGACTCGTGTAATTTGCGGCACTACTTCAGACCATGATATAAAGTGCTGAAATTGAGTGTGTATGAGTTTTTATATAACAATATTATATTATGGAAGGGTGGAGGTGATTTAACATGCCTAGAATCTTCAATAAGGGTTTTGGAAATGAGAAGATGCTAGATTTTAAACTTTTGTTTTTGATTGCTCAAAAGACTCTCAAAAGTTTAGGAGCTACTTATGGAGTCACTTCGTGACAGTTGTTCAGATCTATAGGGTACGTAATAGAGATTGTTGTTCTATGATGGAGGAGGTTATCTTGAATTCCTCTTTTCGAGATAAGGGCACTATCCTCCAACAGACTTGTTTCTCTGCTATGTTGTGAAGTATTTGGCTTGAAATGACAAAATTTTTAGAGGGGTTGAGAGATCCTGGGAAGAGAGGTAGGAAGGTTTAACCCTTCTTTGTGGGCTTTGGTAACTGAATTATTAGTTAGGTGTTATTCTTTTGGGTTGGAGTCCGTTTATGCATAGGTAGTTCTGAGACTCCTTTTCGAGGGGTGGTTTTTTTGTGTGCTTTGTATTTTCCTTCATGCTTCTCATTTAAACCTTGATTTTTTCATTAAAAAAATCTGTTGCTTCCATATTGCAGCAAGCAAGTAGAGCATGCTTTGGTAGTTTACCGAGTATTTTAATTTTTTTGAAAATAATTTTCTTGGTCTGTCTGATCTCCGATGTGAAATCAAGATTTTCTGTAAAGATTAATTAGTTCTTTGCGGTGTTCCTGTTCAAGGAATGGAGGCGTCAGTTTCTGTATGTTTGTTTATTTTTATGTACCTTGAGTGGCATATTGGAGGTTAATAAGCTTAAGTAAATATTTTGATTCCTTACTATCAGAATAGATGAAGCAATTCTTGAATAAATAGGGATTAGTGATGCATTTGGAACATTAAAGAGGTGTTTGGTAAATTTCCTTTTAAGTTTCACTATTTTTAATTATTGTTTACCCCAAATGTATGGCTTGGCTTGATGGACAATAGGGAATTAGGGTTTTATGAAAATTTTTTAAATCAGATTTTATTCAGTCAAGTTTTTCTAGTTGTTGCAATGGCCCTTCAAAAGAAAAGAAAATAAAAAAAAACTTTATGTATAATGACATGACACTGAGGGGAATGTTCACGTAACTGTTTATTTTCGTGTCCCAGGTTGGTGATGGAACAACAACAGTTGTTCTCCTTGCTGCTGAGTTTTTGAAGGAGGCCAAGCCTTTTATAGAGGACGGAGTCCACTCTCAAAATTTAATACGGAGCTATCGGACTGCAAGCCATTTGGTCTGTGATTTTAATTTTCATTACTGTTACATTTATGGGTTGAATGGTCATGCTAACTTCCTGACCGGGTTTCTTTATTAGGCAATTGAGAAAGTAAAAGAGCTGGCAATCAGTATTGAGGGGAAGAGCTTAGAAGAAAAGAAA